ATGTATTTAGTTGATGAAATTAAATAAGAATGAAACATGACATTTATAAGAATGACACATTGAAGTCATTTGGTCATTTTCCTATTTCCTTGAATTAAGGAGTGCCGCCTGTCCAACGTCTTTTTTGTTTTGTGACATCACACCCACCCACAAAAAAAAAAAAAAAAACCCAAAAACTTCACCTGGCATGCTCCATTTGTGCCGCGGCTGGAGAGACGAGCAGCCGCCGCGGAGAGCTCATTTCGAGGCACTTTCTCAGCTTGTTTTTTTTTTTCGTTCTCCACCAGCGTGTCATCAAGCCCATGGCAACCCACCGTAACCCACGGCAACCCACGGCCACGCGCCGCTCGCTGGGCTGCCACTTAGTAAAGGCGGCCCAAGTCGTCGCAGCCAGCTGGGATATCAAGTGGTGGAAAAACAGCTTCTATCTCCACTCAAAGCGAGTGCAGTTGATTCCTACACCACAATTTTAGCATCTTCTCATGTTGACAAAGAGGGGAACTTTGTTCGCAAAAATATTCTCCTGTGAAGCGATTTGTGTACTTTCAACAAGGCGACAGGTCAAAGCAGCTGTGATGACGTTTTGTTTTGGCTAACAGCTCCACCGCTGGGTCGGATTTCATCTTGTTATGCGCCAACAGAAATCTCCTATCCCCAAATTTGGTCCATTTCATATTTATTTCAAATTGATGTTATCGGTCACGTCTTATGTGGTGGCTCTGTTGGTTTCATAAATGACTGAGCAATCTGATGACGCTAACTGTGGAGGCTTTGCAGGGGCGAGGGGTGGGGGGGGGGGTTCCTTCCCATTTTTGCTTGATGTCCAGCTTCAGCTGTTCAACAATCCGGAGGTCTCCGTTGTCGTACATAACGATTCATAACGCGCCACACGTTTTCAGTGGGAGACAGGTCTGGACTGCAGGCAGGCCAGTCTAGTCCGCGCACTCTTTCAGCCACCGTGTGGTAACGCGTGCAGAAGGCGCTCTGGCGTTGTCTTGCCGAAATTAGCAGAAGGGGCGTCGGCAGCATGTGTATCTCCGAAACCCGAATGGACCTTTCAGCACGAACGGCGCTTTGCCTTCTTTCGCCTTCTTCCACTAAAATGACGGCAAAGTGAGACACGGGCCGACGGCGGCAGCCGGAGGAGCCGTCAATTAGTGGACATTATTCACTGGGCCGCTCATCACTGAGCCCTGCGAGCGCTCTGGCAAAGTGGAGCGCTTGTGTAACAGTCCTTGGTCCAAATCAAAAAGGAGGAAGGAAAGAAAAGGGAGGAGGGTGAGGAGGGAGCGGCAGATTCCACGGCGTGACCTCAGAAGGAGCAAGACGTAGCCACTTTGAGAGCTCCCCTCTTTTGGCCCGGCCCATCAGACAAAGCTGCCACATGACTGAGGTTCTTGCTGAGCTGTGGGACAATCGGCTTCAAAACTTCAAAACAGGAAAAAAAAAAAAAAATGGACCGAAAATGACAAATTCATATCTGGATGGAGAGGAAGATGATGTGGAGATGTTTGGGAATCATCCTTAAATATGTCAAGACATTTAGGCAGAAATGTCACCACTTCAAAAAAAAACCCAGCAACAACGTAATTTTACATCTTGGACACGTCTATGCTTGACAAGATGCGGCAAGCTCGGTTTTGAAGTGGATCTTTTCAGAAAATGTGAGCTTGATAATCGGCAGGATTTTTGCTGAGCTATGGAAGAAGCATCCCTTAAAAGTGAAGAAACCCAAAAGCTTCCTCGCCGGCTGACCGCTCAAACTACCCTCTGTCAAATTGGCGCATGTGCGAGCGCGCGAAGCAGTGACGTGACCGGCGTGGAGGTGACCCCAGCGTGTCTGTGAGGATGCGCAACGACGAGGCGCTCCGTCATCCCCGATGAGCGTCGCGGCGTACTCGTCAGCCCCGAGGCGGTCGGCCGGCCGGACTTTTGCTGAGCGTCGGCATTCGACGAGGACGGAAGGCAAAGACGAAGGCGAAGCGAACGAAAGCGCGTGCCGCCTCGGCGGAGGATCTCCGAGGGCTTGTCAACACTGGGCTGGTCCCGCTTCTCATTGGATCTTCCTCAAGCTGTTCTGCGGCGTCTTCTTCGTTTGGACACGCAAACAAGCCTGATGCCCACTTTGAGTCACCGACGGGTTGCTCGACATTTACAGTCCACACATGTTGGCTGTCACGTCAGAGATTTAAAAAAAAAAAAAAAAAAAAAAAAACAATCCATCAAATCCGTGTTGAGTGGACGCAGGCAACGAGTGCCTCGTTGTTGCAGGCAACAACGAGGCACTCGAATGCAACCACGCCGCCAGCCCGAAGCCTCGTTGATATATTTTTTTTGCCGCCATTTTGTGTGAGATACGATTTGGGTTGATCGTCAAGGAAACGTCATGACATGATTTTCGAACGATGACTTGACTCCAAAACCAGACGCCCTCGAGGTGTCGCGGCCGGTTGAATCCTCTCACAACGATAAGTCCCGGTGAAAGACGTACGTCATGGCCGCCCGATGTGAAGATGACGCGCACGCTTTGATTACTTTTGCGACACAAAAGCACCGAGGCCGGATGAAAGAGGAAGAAGACGGCGGCGCAAGCCGCCCGCTGCCAACGGGGCGCCTTCCAGCTCGTCGCCTTTATGCAAAGCGTGTTAATCAAGCACCTACTCGTCATTAAGTGGCCGCCTGCTTCTTCCGCATCAAGGCTGCAGATTATCAGCTCATGCGCTGGCTTTGATTCCTCGCCACCGCTGCCACGAACGACAAAAAAGTCTCAAAAGAAGCCGCACGTGGGTGCTTCAAGGTTTTTTTTGGTGGGCAACGGAAACGAAAAAAATAACTGGAAAAAAAAAAGAAGAAACCAAGTTGACTGAAACAATATCTTACATTCATACTACAACGAATAATAATTAGGATGAAAATGTCCAACGAAATCAACAAAAAACACAAAGCACCGGCTAGTACAAAACTTGGGGGAAAATTCAACCCCTGAAGCCACTTCGCACCATCAAATTTGGCAGGCATGCCAAGCACGAGTAGACCCACCAAAAAAAAATTCCCAAGAAGCCGTAGGAAGTCTGACATTTTGGTTTGAAGCGGACAGTTGAGCTCCAAATTGGTTTCCGACGCTCTCCCGGGCTCGCTTTCGCACCGGCGTTGAGCACATTCCCGAATCCCCTCGACAACAAACACAAATGAGCTCCAAACGAGAGAACGGCGCATCGGCTGCTTGATTCAAGATGCCGTCAGTTGTAATTCCATCTCCCCATCGTTTTCGGCCTGACAACAAAAGAGCCGACGGGGAGAAAGAGCCACGACGCCTTAGCGGCGACGAGTGACAAGTAAAACCTCGGCTAATGTCTCGCCGCTTCCTCTGCGTCCTTTCTAGACGCTGAGCACTTGGCTTGCGCTTGGCGCGTCTTTCCCATGTCACGATTGTCTCCCGACGCGCAAAGTCCGAGCGGCCTTGGCGCTCGAGCGCAAGCGTGGTCGTTTCCAGGCGGCACGCCACGTTTGAGGAAGTTGGGGGCTCGATGCTGTTGTTGTTGCGGAAGGGGGGTTGCTCTTTGTTATCGTCATGTAGAAAGTGTGCTGCAGAGGAGGAGCCGACGGATGGGAAAGGACCCCCCCGGGGGGAGTTTTGTGTCAACCACATGCGCGCTGGCTGCTCCTTTTTGTTATGCCGCTGGGCTCTCCAGATGCTCGTGCGGCAACCGCCGTTGATTTGCCTTTGCGGGTTATTTGACGGAGCCCCGCCTCAGTTGCAAATGTGGAGAGTCGACCTCCGCCAGGGGTGACTTCTTAACGAGCGATTTGTGGCCTCTATGTCGCCGGCGAGATATTCCGCCAATGTCCCCCCCCCTGTGGAGTTGCGCTTTTAGACTGATGTGTCAGATGGCAAGTCAGTTGATGCTACAAATGCACTCAAAAATCTCAAGCAGGTTGTTTTCGGAAGACCCCCGAAAATGGTCAAAAATAACCCCAAGGGATAATTATCAGTGCACCCGTTTCAATTCCAAGTGGCAGACTTCCAAGGCCGAGCTTCTGGGACTTTTTCGTGGGTCTACTCATGAAAGACAAGCCTATCGAATTTGATGTTGTGAAGTGGAATAGAATTTGGGGGAAGTGAATTTTCAAAAAGCCCTGCGATTGGCTGGCAACCGATTCAGGGTGTCCCCCACCTACTGCCCGAAGACAGCTGGGATGGGTTCCAGCACCCCCCGCGACCCTAGTGAGGATCAAGCGGTTCGGAAGATGAATGAATGAATGAATGAATTTTCAAAAACTCGATTGGAGGAATTTGTCTTTGAGGGACACCTTGAAATGAAAATGAGCCTCAAATGGCTGCTTCAAAACCAATATTGGCTTTGTTTTTTGTGGTTCTACTCATAATTAACAGGTGTACCAAAGGTTTCGGGGGCTGTTACCAAGACAATTTGGGGAAGAAATGTTACATAAAAAATTAAAAGTTACATAATTTTTTTTTTTTTTTTTTTATGTTAATTCTCTAAGCAAGATGATTTTTTTTTTTGGTCAGCATACCCGTAACAATTTGACCCATCCTAAAATCTCAAGAAGCAATGGCTGAAAAGAAACAGAAAATCTGTCTTTTTTTTTTTTTGTTGTTGTTGTTCAGGTCGTTTGGGTCATTTTCTAGCATCCTTCCGAGATGAACTCCTTCAAGGGATTTTGCTTGATTTCTACCCCCCACCCCAAAAAAAAAAAGAAAAGTATACTCGACAGCTGGAAGATGCTTTCATTGTGGGCGGAGCCTGGCGGCAAAGTTTGATGACTGGCCACAAAAAAACGAGGGTCCGTTCTTGCTGCTCCATTCTTCCTCAGAGTACAAAGAAGAAGCTGGAGGGACAAGTGAAGTGATGATGTGAGTTAAGGCGGGGAGGGGGAGGGGCAGGG